CAGGAGGAGAAGCAACAGGGGCAGGTGCTGTTGGTGCAACCCTACGGTTTGCACTCGGCTTGTTGTCCGTGTGCGTGCATGCGTGTGTGCATGGAATGGTATGAGGGCATGGGATAATATATATATATATATATATTTCATGCTTATAATAGTGTGTGAATGTTGAGTCATGGTGTCGAATGTGTGTGTCGAGTCAATAGCGAGTTATCGCTAGTCGCATGTCACGCGGTCGTTTGTGTCCGGTGCGCGGTTTCTATTTTGTCGTGTGTCTCGTGCACGGTTTCTATTTTGTCGTGTGTGGAACGTTCGGTGTGTCGCAGGTGTGTGCAAGCAGACCCATCAAGAACTCAAGGATGAGTTTATGGTGAAGAGCCAGAGCCTTGGTGTCAAGATTAAAGTGATCGCGAAGCCCGCGAAAAGGGTACACCTCAAGATATTGAGAATAGTTACATTATTTTGTGTAGTGTAACATTTCACTTGGTGTAGGCCCTTGTGAAGGGTAGTTTCGAGACCCTTCGTGGTTGGGGACAGTGTGGCACTGTTCCACTTCACTTTACCTCGGCTCTTGGGGTTTGTAGGAGCTGGGAGTCATTCCCAACTCGTACCCCTTCCTAATTTGTGTTCTAAGACTATAGTGGTTGCCATAGTGCCGTTCATTCAAACCGACGCTGTGTCGTCAATACTTGGTGAAATCGTGCGATCTAAATTGCCTAGTGTAGGTGACGTTAAGACGCTCCAGATCCAATTTGAGTGATGTCATGTGGATCTGTGGAGAGATCGCTATGAACGTTTGAAGCCGCTGTACAGAAATCCAACTGTGCACTCTATCTTTCGTTTTAGGCACATTTGAGCCTATTGTGACGATAACAGGTGCCGCCGCAGCAGACGCCGGAGGAGGTGGAGCAGCAGCGACTGAGAGACCTGCCCGACCCGACACCTGCACGCCTGGTCCGTGGTCCTCTACTGTCCCCTCCTGTTCCCCCAGTCGAGGCCCTTGCTTCGTCCCCGTGGACTTGTCGTTCTCCCCTCGGTCGTGCTGTGTCTCCTGAGCCTCGTCAGTCTCGTTACCGTGCTGACGGCCCGTTTCACCTTGTCCTCTGCTCTCGTGTTCCACCTCCTCCAGTCCTTCCACAGCCTCCAGAGTCGTCCCTCACTGTGTTTCCCGACCCACTGTCCGACTACCTCCGTGCCTCACGTCCTGTCGTCTCCCGTGTTTTGTCCGCTTTGGTCACTCACACGACTGCCCCCCCGTTGTCTGTCTCGACTCTTGTTACCACTGTCGCTGGCTTTGCCTCTTCCCACCGCCTTGACTACGCCTCTCACCTAGTGAGTGGCACTGCTCATTCTCCGTCCACTAGGGGTGTTCCAGTTCTTCCCCTGGAGGTCCTGGAGGACAGGCAGTTCGAGCTTGGTTTCTTGGCGGCCGCTGTTCCTCATCTCTGCGCCATGCTGCTTGCCCCTGAGGGGGATCCAGACGCCCTTGACATCCCGATCCCTCGCACTCACGCCGAGGCGGTCCCGGGACCCTGGGCTTCGTACTGGATAGCAGCTGAGGAGGCAGAGATGGCATCTTATAGGTCCACAAGCATCTACGTCGACGCCGTCCCACCACCTGGGACGAACGTTGTCAGTGGCATGTGGCTCTACAAGGTGAAGCGGCCGCCTGGATCACCAACAGTGTTCAAGGCGCGCTATGTGGCGAGAGGCTTCAGTCAGCGCGAGGGGGTAGACTTCTTCCAGACCTTCGCTCCCACCCCAAAGATGACCACTCTTCGGGTGATGCTGGATATTGCAGCACAGCGCGACTACGAGTTGCACTCCTTGGACTTCTCCACCGCGTTCCTTCAGGGGAGCCTGCTCGAGCAGATCTGGCTGCGTCGTCCGCCTGGCTTCACTGGCACTTTCTCTCCTGGAACCTAGTGGCAGCTGCGTCGACCAGTCTACGGCCTGCGCCAGGCTCCCCGCGAGTGGCACGGCAAGCTACGTACGAATCTTGCAGTGCTTGACTTCTTTCCGTCGTCTGCCGACCCGTCGATGTTCGCTCGCCGTGGCTCGACCCCGTTCTTTGTTCTGGTCTACGTTGACGACCTGGTCTTCGCCACTCCCGACCGACGTGCACTGGCCTCTGTGAAGGAGGAACCGCAGAGGAGACACACTTGCACTGATCTTGGTGAGCTGCAGCGCTACCTTGGCCTGCAGATCACCAGGGACAGGGCAGCTCGCACCATTACGGTAACGAAGTCACATATGGTCGAGCAGATCCTCACGCGGTTTCGCTTCCCGTTCTCCAAGGTACAGCTCACCCCTCTTGCTGTGGATCATGGGCCCACGGCTCCACCTTCGGACGAGCCACTTGAGTCCAGCAGTCCATATCCTGAGTTGGTGAGTTGTCTCATGTACCTGATGACCTAGCTTACCCTTCTAGCATCTTGGCGCGCTTTGTTGCGCCTGGGAGACACCGAGCTTCGGGGTGGGAGCGAAGTTCTGGAAGAAGTCTACCCCCTCTCGCTGACTGAAGCTTCTCTCCACGTAGCGCGCCTTGAACACCGGTGGTGCTCCAGGCGGCCGCTTCACCTTGTAGAGCCACATGCCACTGACAACGTTCGTCCCAGGTGGTGGGACGGCGTCGACGTAGGTGCCTGTGGACCTATAAAATGCCATCTTTGCCTCCTCAGCTGCTATCCAGTACGAAGCCCAGGGTCCCGAGACCGCCTCGGCGTGAGTGCGAGGGATCGAGATGTCAAGGGCGTCTGGATCCCCCTCAGGGGCAAGCAGCGTGGGGCAGAGATGAGGAACAACGGCCGCAAGGAAACCAAGCTCGAACTGCCTGTCCTCCGGGACCTCTAGGGGAAAGACAGGAGCACCCCCAGAGGACGGAGAACAAGCAGGGCCACTCACCAAGTGAGCGGCGTAGTCAAGGCGGTGGGAAGAGGCAAAGCCAGCGACAGTGGTAACAAGTGCTGAGACAGACGACGGGGGGGCAGTCGGGTGAGTGACCAACGCGGACAAAACACGGGAGACGACAGGACTTGCTCGGAGGTAGTCGGACACCGGGTCGTGAAACACAGTGAGGGACGACTCAGGAGGCTGTGGAAGGACAGGAGGAGGTGGAACACAAGAGCGGAGAACAAGGTGAAACGGCCCGTCCGCACGGTAACGGGACCGACGAGGCTCTAGACACACAGCACGACTGAGGGGAGAACGACGAGTCCACGGGGACGAGGATTCGGGAGATGGCCGAACCTATGGTAACTTACATAAAGGCACGTCAATTGAAATACATCCAAGCATTCACATACAATTGGATGAGAGCACCGTCCGTTGATGGATTAAGCATATCTGTTTTTTTGTGAAGGAGGCTAAGATGGTCATTGTATTCTTCTGGCAATTGAGAATGGAAAAGTGTGACGAAGCATCATTGTTGGCGATGATAATGACTCACCTTGAGGGCATGGGCATCAACATCATGGATATTTTGGGTACCAGTACGGATAAAGATAGTCTCATGATGGGAGCATTGGGGGGTTTGGTGGCCCAACTTTGACTGTGTTTTCTGCACCATATGACCTATCACGGATTGCACGTATGTGAGTAACATCGTTGGCTCTCTCGTTAAAGGCTCCAATACGTATTTCAAGCTGCTTACCCAGTCGAACTTGATATTGTGATTTGAATACTTTGCAGAGAGGCAGTGGTGGCGAAAGACTCCGTTGCAAGTCTTTCAGAATACAAATCGTAGGCCAAGTCGCTCGGTCCCTCGCTTAGATTTTGGGCCGCAGCGTCGTCGTGAATAGCATGTTCTTTGAGCTTCAAATGGTGCTGCATGCCATTTTACTCGAGAAGCCAAGCATTATAAACATCCGACGGCTTCAACATGTAGACCATATTCACCGATTTGTTGTTGTTTTCCGAACAGCATCTTCATCCTATGGGAGTACAACAAGGAGATGTACGATGTGATGAGCATCTTCAACAAGGAACTCACTTCTTTCTATACTTCCTTGTTGATATTCTAATTTGAAAAAACTCAGCAGGAAACTTCAATGTGTAACTCAGTCAGTAAGGTGGAGAGCAGTCAGTGTGAGACTCGGTCAATGTGGCAGACAGCAGTTGAAATGACTGAAAGTATACTAACGTATTCACGTTGGAGAGGATATTGTGCTATTGACGACCTTTCTGGAGAAACATGGCCACCCACAGAGAGGGGAATTAGACAAAGCACGCGTTCCGTACGAGGAGCAGATCAAGAATCGCGAAACACATAGAGATATGTCCTCATGTGTTACCCTTCTATCCATGCTTGCACTGGAAATTGTCACAAATATGTAACAGATGTGCAGAGTATCGGCACGATCGTCGGAGCCTAAAACTTCTTGTCATAACATACCCTGACGGACAAGCAAAGTGAGACTGTGTTTGCGCCGGATGGTTCGCATCGCTACAGTAATGGTTCAATGCCTTGAGTGGCATGATACAATGTATGTGTGCCTTTCCGGTTTGCGCCTCTGAGTCTTTTGGTTTTCCTCCCACCTGCGTCTTACAAGCTCCCACCGAAGTAAGGATAAACGTGAATGCATGCCTCATGAAGATGATGCCCGCTCAGTATAATAACAAATCCTTCCACGGCTGCTTGAAGGGGATGCTGAGAAATCAGGACAGGGAGAGCACTTACCCAAGCATGGTTGAGTGAGAACGTGGGTTCATCAGGTAGGAAGTAATCAAGTCTTAGTTGCGAGGTAAACGCTGCAATGCGATCCCGAGTGCCTTTTTTTGTTCTATTATGACTCCTAGTAAGACAAGGTGGTCTCGGTGTTGAAGAGCTCAAAGAAGAATCAACATGCGAGAGATGTGATTGTTCTTGGATGCATCCAAACATAAGAACGATGCATATGACACATTAGAACCTGCAGAGTAGTGGAGTACGGAGCTGAGGAGAAGAAGAGGAAGTGGCGGAAGGCGAAGGTGGTGGTTAGTGATAGATGATGATGACGCTAGTGCAGATGTGCGTGCTACCCTTGGTGTGGATTTTGATTCTAGTTTTTTTTGCATTTTTTATTGAACGTTGTTAATACCGTAACCTAAACATACCAATGAATCAAGATAAATCCGTCTTATAAAAGAGACGGGCTGAGAAGCGCAAATCATATCTTGCCGCATCATGTCCACATCGACCTCGTTGGTAACAAGTACTTTGTGCATCGTGTCGGTCCTGATGCCCTGCTGCCCGCGCGCCCCGCGCGCCCTGCTACCCGCGCGCCCCGTGCGCTCTGCTGCCCACTCGCCCCGTGCACCCTGCTGCCCGCGCGCCCCGCGCGCCCTGCTGCCCACGCGCCCCGCGCGCCCTACTGCCCTACGCGCCCTGCTGCCCGCACGCCCCGCGCGCCCCACGCGCCTTGCTACTCGCACGCCCCGCGCGTCCTGCTGCCCTGCTGCCCGCGCGCCCCGTGCGCTCTGCTGAACACGCGCTTCGCGCGCCCTGCTGCCCGCGCGCCCCACGCGCTCTGCTGCCAACGCGCCCCACGTGCCCCGCGCGTCCTACTGCCCTGCTGCCCGCGCGCCCCGCGCGTCCTGCTGCCCTGCTGTCCGCACGCCCCATGCGCTCTGCTACCCTGCGTGCCCCGCGCGCCCTACTGCCCCGCGCGCCCTGCTGCCCACGCGCCCCGCGCACCCTACAGCCCTGCGTGCCCCGCGCGCCCTGCTGCCCCACGCCCCGCGCGCCCTGCTGCCCACGCGCCCCGCGCGCCCTGCGCGTCCTGCTGCCCTGCTGCCCGCGCGCCCCGCGCGCCCTGCTGCCCTGCTGCCCGCGCGCCACGTGCGCTCTGCTGCCCACGCGCCCCGTGCACCCTGCTGCCCGCGCGCCCCGCGCGCCCTGCTGCCCATGCGCCCCGCGCGCCCTACTGCCCTGCGCGCCCTGCTGCCCGCACGCCCCGCGCGCCATGCTGCCAACGCGCCCCACGCGCCTTGCTACTCGCGCGCCCCGCGTGTCCTGCCGCTCTGCTGCCCGCGCGCCCCGTGCGCTCTGCTACACACGCGCTTCGCGCGCCCTGCTGCCCGCGCGCCCCGCGCGCTCTGCTGCCAACACGCCCCACGCTGTTATAGTCACAATAGGCTTGAATGTGCCTAAAACGAAAGATAGAGAGCACAGACGGATTTCTGCACAGCGGCTTCAAACGTTGATAGCGTTCTGCTCACAGCTGCAAATGACTTGATTCAAATTGGATCTGGAGCGTCTTCACGTCGTCTACAATTAGCAATTTAGATTGCACGATTTGATAAATAATTGACGACACAGCGTTGGTTTGAACGAACGGTACTATGGCAGCCACTATAGTCTTAGAACACAAGATAGGAAGAGTTACGAGTTGGGAATGACTCCCAGCTCCTACAAACCCCAAGAGCCGAGGTACAGTGATGTGGAACAGTGCCACACTGTCCCCAACCACGAAGGGTCTCGAAACTACCCTTCACTAGGGCCTACACCAAGTGAAATGTTACACTACACAAAGTAATGTAACTATCTTCAATATCTTGAGGTGTACCCTTTTGGCAAGCTTCGAAATCACTTGAGGCTTGACACCAAGGCTCGGGCTCTTCATCACAAACTCATCCTTGAGTTCTTGATGGGTCTGCTGCACACACCTGCGACACGCCGAACGTTCGACACAGGACAAAATAGAAACCGCGCACGACAAAATAGAAACCGCGCGCGAGACACAAACGACCGCGTAACACGCCTCTAGCGATAACTCGCTATTGACTCGACACACACACTCGACATCATGACTCAACATTCACACACAATTATAAGCATGAAATATATATTATCCCATGCCCTCATACCATTCCATACACACACACATTCACGCACACGGACAACAAGCCGAGTGCAAACCGTAGGGTTGCACCAACAAACTCCCCCTCGGATTGTTGACCTTAGGATATGTTGCTCTCTCAGTTCAGAGCCATCCCAGCCAGCTTGCAACACTTCCAATGCTGCTGCTCCACCAGCCTCTTGGTCATCATGTCAGCCGGCTGCCCCGTGGTCTTCACGTAGCGCAACTCAACTTCACCCGCGGTTACCATGCTCCTCGTCCAATGCCACTTCACCCTCATGTGCTTCGTGAGTCCATGCAACACAGGGTTCTTAGCAAGAGCAATGGCACCCTGGCTGTCACAGTACAGTGGGGTAGGTCCTTGCTGCTCCTCCCCCAATTCAGCCAACAAACGCCGCTGCCACACAATCTCCCGTACGGCACGGAAGAGTGCCATGTACTCGGACTCCACCGAGCTCAAAGCTTGGTCAACCTACTTCTTGCTCTCCCAAGCAGTTGGGCCTCTACCAACACAGCATATGAAGCCTCCCACACTTGTCATGTCCTCTGGTTCTGATGCATATGAAGCATCCGAGTAGGCGGTGAGGAACAAACGCCCGGGTTCAACACCATCCGCGCCCTTTTGGCGCCTTTGTGCCGCCGCCGAGTATTGCAGCCCAACGGTCGGTGTTTGGCCAAGATACTTGGCCACCCTCATTCCAGCTGCTACCTGCTCCTCATTAGGGCATTGCACAACCCTAGCCAGCTGCCCGGTAGCAAACGCGACGTCCGGTCGGGTGTTTACCGCCGCATACATGAGGCTGCCCACCAACGAGTGAAATCGGCGCCTCTCCTCTTCACCAACGCTCTCCTCCTCTGGTCCCTTCACACACTTGAACCTAGAGGGAAAGGGTGTAGCCACATGGCCTTCACTCTGCCCAAAGTTGGCAGCCAATGCCTCCAGGTACTTTCGTTGATGCACCCGCATGCACCGCTTCTCCACATCTCGTTCGATGTGGAGCCCAAGGTAGAAGCTCACGTCACCAAGGGCCTTGCACTTGAACTTGTCTTGAAGCTTCAGCATCACCTCCTTCACAAGGTCAGAAGAGGGTGAGAAAATGAGGATGTCATCCACATAAACCACCATGAAACTCCTCTGCTCCCCCTCGCCAAGCATGAACAAGGAGTGATCGGCCGTTGAGGGAGTGAAGCCGATCCCCTCCAACACTTCGCGCAGCTTCATGTACCATTGCCTAGGGGCCTGCTTCAGCCCATAGAGGGCCTTCTTCAGCTTCCACACTCTGCCACTACCATCATCAAACCCCTCTGGCTGCGCCATAAAAATCTCCTCCTCAAGGATGCCGTTAAGGAATGCCGTTACGATGTCCATTTGCTTTACTACCCATCCTTTGATGGCGGCTCCCGCGAATAGGGTTCGCAGCGTCGTCGGCTTCACCACAGGGGCAAACAGCTCCTTGAAGTCCACCTTCTCCTTCTGCTGGTACCCCTTGGCTACAAGCCTAGACTTGTAGCGCTCGATCTTGCCGTCGGCATCCGACTTGATTTTGAAGAGCCACTTGGACGTTATCGCCGTACGCCCCTCCGGTAGCTCCACCAATTCAAACGTGTCATTCTCCTCGATGCTCTTCAGCTCACTCTCCATGGCCTTCTTCCACTCCTCAGCATCACTACTCTCCAAAGCCTCCTTGAGAGTTGCTCTCCAAAGCCTCCTTGAGAGTTGCTGGTTCTCCCGGCATCTCCACCGGAGAGAAGAACGCGAAGGCACACTCCTCGTAGTCACTCTCCTCGTCGTCTCCGACCATCATTGCCGCTCCGGCCAGGGCTGTCTTGCCCTGCTTTCTCGGCGCATCATAGGTCAGCCTATTAGGGGGTTGAACTCTCCTCTTCCCCCTTCCTTCCTCCTCAGCTGCAGGGACTTGAAGGCCTTGGCGTTGCTGCGGTGGGGCTCGAATCCGTGGAGCACTCGTAGTACGGGAAGGGAGTGACGGTGCACGCTCGCTCACTTGCTGCACCTCCTCCTCTTCTTCCTCTGCATCATTGGCCTCCTCTCCCCCATTCACAAGGGAGGATTGCCTTGTGGTTGTGCTGCCGCTGCTCAGCACCAAAGGCAGCTCCACATGCTCCAAACCGGAACTCTTCACCTCCCCAAACCGCACGCCTATCTTCGCCTCATTCTCCGCCTTCCAATCCTTGTACATGAAGTTCTCCATGAACTTGCAGTCCCTGCTCACCAAGAACTTCTTGGTGAATGGGTCCCAAAGAAGCCATCCCTTGCTGTTTTGAGCCATGCCCAAGTGCACGGCCCACACCGCCTTGGCACCAAGCTTGTTGTGCCGAAGATGCTTAGGCACGAGCGCCATGCACATGCACCCGAACACCCGAAGCATATCCACCTTTGGCTTCCTTCCTAGCCACTCCACATAGGGCACCCATTTGTCTGCTCCCACATGAGTCAAGGCTCTGTTCTTGGCCACACACGCGCTCCGCACTGCATCAGGCCAGAAATAGTCGGGTAGCCCGGCTTCAATGAGCAACCCGCGTGCCGCCTCCGTGATTGTGCGGTTCGCTCGCTCGGCGATGCCGTTCATTGCAGGGGAGTATGGCATGGTGAGGGAGTGCCGAATACCATTCTTCTTCAGCCACAACCCAAACTCCTTGCTCAGGAACTCTCCCCCTCGATCGGTGCGGATTGACTTGACTAGACGGTCTTGTTGCCGCTCCACCATCGGAAACCAATCCGTCTTCAACGTTTCAGCCACGTCGCTCTTCTTGGCCAGCACGTACACCCAAGTCATGCGGGTGTAGACGTCGACAATGGTGAGAAAATACTCAGCTCCAGCAGCTCCAAGCTTCAGGGGGCCCACCACGTCCATCACCACCTCATCAAGCGGTGCCTTTGCCGTTGCCTCCGAACTAGGGAACAGAAACCGGGTGAACTTGGCTTGAATGCACGTCGGGCAGCCAAGCACCTCATCGGGCTCCCCCTTCACACGTATGCCAGCAACCATCTCATTCTTCACTAGCTGCTGCAAGATGGGCAGGGCCACATGCCCCATGCGCCGATGCAAGGTGAGCCAATCACACTCCCCCGTAGCCGAAGTTGGATTGGAGAATGCCGCGCTCGCAATAGCGCCCCACATACTCTCTCCGTAGTCCTCCTCCGCTGCTGCCTCTGGGTTCTCCTCACCCTTTTGCTGCTCCTTGGTTGCTGCACCACTCTCCTTAGGTTCACTGAACTTGCTGGTCCCTCCAGGTTTGCTCTTCTTGAGCTCATTCTCCTTAGCGCGACCGTTCGCGCCATCGTCGCTACCGACCGCTCCATCCTTGGTGCTGATGCTTGCTGCCACTTGCCTCTCCTTAGGCATAGGGACCACTGGGATCTGCCACATCTCGTTGTAGACATCCCTGTCCTCATGAAGGTCCCAAAGAATTCGATCACCAAGCCTTGCGGTGTAGGTCTTGGCTCCCTTCGAGTTCGTGTCCATGCCGGCCTTTGCCAACCGCCGCACGGAAATCAGGTTTGCAGCAAGGCTGGGCACCCAAAGCACGTTCTTGAGGCCCACCATCTTCCCATCAGCACCCTTGAACATGGCCTTGCCCATGCTTTTCACCTCTGCTCGCTGCCCCAAAGCCGATGTGACATGCTTCACCGGTGACGGCTCGAGTTCGGTGAGCAAGTCCGGGCGAGGTGTCATGCTATAGGTAGCGCCACTATCAATCACCCAATAGTCCAGGGGGTGTAGGGTCACCTTCCCCACAGCTGCTGGCTCCTCAAAGCCTTCATCCTTCTCTGGACCAGCCGGTACTTGCGTCGACACGAAGTAGAATAGACCCGGGTATCGATCGTCGCTCGGGTCCTTGTCGTTGTCTCCGCTCTTCATGTTTGCAGCTCCGCCACCGCGACCGCCACGGCCTCCACGGCCTCGTCCTCTCCCTCCTCCTGCTCCTCTACCCTCTTGGCCTTGAGCAGGGGTCCAACCATCAGGGAGTTTGTAGCAGTCGCGCCACATGTGTCCGCTCTTGTGGCAATAGTGACACTCGCCGTCGAATCGGCCGCGACCGCGTCCGTAGCTCTTGTCGTCGCTGCCGTAACCGCCACTCCTGCGGCCTCCGCCGAAGTTGCTGCCACCAAACCTTCCTCCCCCTCGTCCTCTGCCTCTTCCTCGACCATATCCACGGCCGATGCTCGCTGCCCCAGCGCCATCCGCACTCGCCAACTCACGGCGGCGGAAATCCTCTTGAAGGATAGCTCGCTTCACGTCTTCA